ACAGCTCCACAGCTCAGCACAAATTCACGATATATTGCGTCAAAGCCAGAAACTCGATTTTTCTTTAGTCAGAGCAAGCGAAGGCATGCCGAGACATCGATAACCGAGCATTTGCATCTCATTGGCCTCCATAATCTTTCTGTCCTTGTCTCTTCTTCTTTAGTTACGTCATAACTACTCGTAGTCTTGCGCTGTGCAAATATGTTGATTCACAATCACCAACTAGCCCAAGCATCTGTCTTATCAAGTGACATCAGATTAGCTATACTTTGGGGTTTGGTACTCATCAGTTTTTAACCAAAGCAACTCAGTTTGCCTGGCTTATTAGAGGAGCTTCAAAAACGGGACTAAAACCAGGAGTACTATTGTGCACCGGTAGGGATGACACCCCCCCTCTTGCATGACGTATCTCAGGGGTCCCAAACACGTTGCTTCACACGGAACAAAGTTTTGTGACTTTGCTAAAAGTACTCGCATTGTCTTCTCACCCACTGCAATAGCATTTTTTCTCATCAGGCACCCCAAGGGGTCAATATCAGTTGAGTGGGCATGTGGCAGCAGCAGTGAAGATGGCGTTGCTTAAGCCCTTCCTGTTTTTCATACAGATACTGGCTGTCTCGTCTCCGGAATCAACGCCGCAGCCTGGCTGCTTTGTGCGTTCTTGGTCAACCCCGGTGACCAGCTGCTATCTTCAACGAGTCGACTATGCGCGGCCATGCGTGGACGCGGCTCCACTGCGCACCTACACCGGAGGAACCACCGCATCACAGACGCCAGGGGATTCGGACAGTATAAAGAGCCAGCGTGAACAAGCTGCCATCAGTGCGCATGTGGCAGCAGCAGTGAAGATGGCGTTGCTTAAGCCCTTCCTGTTTTTCATACAGGTTAGTTGTTCACCTTCCTTGCATTGTAAAAAAACGAGCAACCGTTGTCTGCTGCTTGTCCCATGCCCCCATGTGCTTTTGATAGTTTGCACTGACTGTGTTCATGCTATGCAATTGCTTATTATGTCTGGGGATATAGAACTTAACCCTGGGCCTCCTAAACCGGTAGCCGAGATTACCAATAGTGAAGTACTCGAAGCTATAAAATCCCTCGCAGGTACAATGGGATCACGCCACGCCGAAGTAATGTCGTCGCTAAACGAAGTAAGAGGCAGCCAGAAATTGCTCGAAGATCGAGTAACAGATGTAACCGAGAGATTAGCAGTGGTTGAGAACAAGGTTTCCACCCTGGAACACTTACTGACGACGCTGACACTCGCCGCACAGTAGCTGAAATTGTCAACTGCGAAAATTCGGCTGTGCTGTCTCGCCTCGATGATTTAGAAGATAGGGCTCGGCGGGACAACTTGCTTTTTTACGGCTTTGACGATAGTCATTCAGATACATGGGCGTCAGCTGAAGAGAAAGTACAGAAGCTCTTGTCCACCGCCTTTTCTGAACCAGTGCCCGCTGATGGCATTCCTCGGGCACACAGATTAGGCTCCTTTGTCGAGAACAAGTGCCGACCTATAATTGTGAAGTTTGCATCTTCCAAAACAAAAGACCGAATTTTATCTTAAAGGGCTAAACTTAAGGGCACCGGTATCACAATCCAGGAAGACTTTTGTAAGGCCACTCGCTACTCGCGCAAAAAGCTTCACGATTTTGGCAAGGCTACAGGGAAACAGTACAGCTTGCGCTATAACAAGCTGTACGTCGGCAAACAATGTTATGCTTATTGCAGTGTAACCGATAGTGTTTGCGAAATTGGGATGTACAGTGCCCCTCTTTTCACTGGTGATACAGCCAACTCTTTGTTACCGCACCAAACCACTGCCTAGCAACCCTCAGCCGTGCGGGCGAAATCCAAACGTGACTATTCTTTTCTGTTCACCAACATCAGAAGTTTGATTCCTTAACAAAATGAGTTATCGTCTGCGATTGACACGTGCTCAGCTGATGTTGTTGTGCTCGCCGAACTTTGGCTGCATGAACATGTGGATAATAAAGAACTGCTGAATTGCAAAAAAGATTACACCATATACAGGCACGACAGAATTGAGCGGAAAGGAGGTGGAATTCTTATTGCTGTATCCGATGAGATTGCGTCTTATCACGTCAGCATTGCATCACATTTAGAATTTCTTTGTGTTTGTATCCAGATAAACTACGCAGATTTCTTGTTCTGTGCCTGCTACCGTCCGCCGAACAGTTCGTCTACTTTTTGCGATGAATTCCACGATTGCCTCAACCAAGTTGTCGTTAAATTTCCTAAAGCCCCCTTGTTTGTTTTGGGTGATTTTAACTTTCCGGAAATTTCGTGGAACGAGCCGTTTCCTGTAACAACCAGTCCTTCTAAAGAATGCTCAAGTTTTATTGACGTTTGCTCTATATTTAACTTAAGTCAACTTGTTAAAGGACCTACTCGCGTTACCCAGTCGTCTTCCAGCACCCTCGACCTTTTACTGACCACTGTTCCCGAGTCTGTTTCATCTTTAACGCTTTTGCCTGCTTTGAGTGACCACTTAGTTGCCCATTTCACTATACCGTCATCCTCTTCGCGCCCCGCTAAACAGTTTAAACAAAATTAGAGACTATGTTAAAGCTGATTTCCAAGCCATAAATAGGGAACTGGAAGCTTTTATAGATTATTTCCTTCCTGAATTTTGGGAGCGTCCGCTCAATGTTAATTGGGCTTTATTTCGAAACAAGGTTCAATGGCTGACTGATAAGTACATACCGCTCAGACGAATACCCTGTCCTAAACGCCAACCGTGGTACAACGTCTCACTAAAACGACTGCTTAATAAAAAAAAGCGCATTTTTCGCCGCTGTAGACTATCAAGTTCTGCTGAAAGATGGGCGGCTTGTGCGCGCGTCGCATCAGAATATAAAAAAGCCCTTTCTCGTGCAAAAACCGAGTTTTATCAGTGAACGCTCCCATCCCTCTTATCGACTGATCCCCGCAAGTTCTGGAGCGCTGTTAATTTGAGCAGATCTAAAGATGTAAAATTAAAAACACCGGATGGAACACTTGTTCCACGAGAGCAGTGCTGCGTGTTGCTCAACAATACGTTTTCTTTATCTTTTACTAAAACAATTCCTACTTCTTTTCCTGTTAAAGAAAGCCTACATCTTGAACCAATGGAACCCATTTTTATTGACTGTGCTGGAACTTTCAAGCTGATACAGGGGGCTAAAATTTCTTCATCTTCTGGAATGGATGGAATTAACTATAAGTTTCTGAAAAGTGCCAATGTGAACTCCTCATTGATCCTTTCCTATATTTTTTCACAGTCTTTACAGTGTTCCTTACTGCCCGACGACTGGAAGGGTGGAAAGGTGATTCAAGTGTACAAGTCTGGTGAAGTTTTCTCCCCTTTTAACTATCGACCCATCTCTCTTACATCAATCCCATGCAAACTACTCGAACACATCATTTACACTAACTTCATGAGCTTTCTAGAATCTAATTCATTTTTTACAGTCTACCAACACGGTTTTCGCAAAAATCATTCCTGTGAAGCTCAATTAATCACCTTTACTAATGATCTCTGTTCTTTGTTGGATCGTGCGTCAGTAGTCGATTGCATTTTCATTGATTTCGCAAAGGCATTTGACTGCGTCTCCCACCCACTACTACTTTATAAACTTAGCAAACTGAGCATTGACCCTAACATTTTAAGGTGGATTGTATGTTTTCTGCAGAATCGCTTTCAATATGTATCCGTTAATGATAACGAATCTCCTCACTGTCCTGTTACATCTGGTGTCCCTCAGGGATCAGTATTGGGACCTCTTCTCTTCCTAATTTATATTAATGATCTTCCTGATACCATAACCTCATCAATACGTCTTTTCGCTGACGATTGTGTTATATATAGAAATATATGTGAACCTTCTGATCCCTCACAACTTCAAACCGACCTTAACACAATTTCAGCCTGGTGCAACACCTGGCTAATGAAACTAAACATCGACAAGTGCAAATATATGAGGTTAACTCGAACAATCAAGCACACCCCTGTAAACACATATTTCCTGAATGGCTCCCCTCTATTATCAGTTACCACCTACAAATACCTGGGCATTCAGATTTCAGATAACCTTTCGTGGCCCTCGCACATTGAATGCGAACCGCATGCTCGGCTTCCTTCGACGAAATTTCTCTCGAGCTCCCACTTCATTAAAACTGCAGCTTTACAAAACCCTTGTACGGCCGAAGATTGAATATGCCTCTTCTGTATGGGATCCACATTCTGCCAATCTTGTCTCCACACTTGAAGCTACCTAAATTGAGCCGCTTGTTTCATTCTCTCTGATTATTCCCGATCATCCAGTGTCACTAACATGAAACAAGTAGTACAACTACCTGATCTTGCAACCCGTCGTATGATATCCCGCCTATGTGTTTTCCATAAAGTATTTTACACCAATCAGACCTTAAAACAATCCCTTTTTTCCGTTCCATCATACGTGTCATCCTGCATTGATCATCCGTTAAAAGTTGGTGTGCCAAACTCCCGAACAAACCTCTACCTGAACTCGTTTGTCCCAACGACCTGTGTACAGTGGAATCACCTTCCAGCCTCCATCGTCTCCATCAGCGACGCTGCGCACTTCAGGTCCACTGTCAGCAATCACTTTTTGTAACCACCCCGCTTTTGTCTTTTCTCTTGATTGTTCAATATTGTACCCCTCCTCTCTCTAACGCCTTACGGCATTGAGAGTAAATAAATGAAATGAAAAAGCATTCCATGAAACGCTAATTCCACATTTCCGAATTGGCGTCTAGATTTGGCTCATTCTGGAAATCGTTATTGATAAGTTTTTCAAAACCTGGCATAAAATCTCCTTTAGAGGTGATACGTAGATGTGATATAGGAAAGGTTTCAAAATGTGAACTCTACAAGACATATTGTTCAAGCTCTGTCCCTGTCGTTTTGCAGACTGACTGCGGCCTGATAGCTGAGGTGAGTTCCCTAATGTATCTAGAACACAAAGAGGGGCACTCACCTATCGTGAACACCAGCCCTTCGAGCATCTCTCCCTTTTCATCATTGTCTGAAAGAGAAGGCACAGAAATCATACACACTAACAAATTACACCAATTTTAGGTAACATGCAATGAAATGATGCCTGATAAAGTAAATCAGGCAAAGCATCGTTGACACCGCAATTTGTTATTCAAAATATCGTATGTGAAGCGAGAGAGAGAGAGAACAGTTCACAAATGTGTGTAACAGCAACCGACATGTTTCATTAAGCATTTGAGCTATTTTGCATACACAATGAATATCGAATTAAAGGGATACTAAAGGCAAATTTTGCATCAGAGTCAAAGATCAATGTTTGGGTATGTCTAAAATGACAGTATCATCAACAGCAGTACTCTAATAATTGAGAAGTTAAGGTAAATGTATGGCAACACATGCGCTATGAATGGGACATTTAGTAAATTAAAAAAAAAAGAAACAGAACTGGTTTACGTTACTACGAAGAATAAAGCGATGGATTCAGAAGTTCTATTTTCTGCTGGTTCAGCTGCATAAGTTGTGCCATTTAGCAGGACTCGGTTTAAACAAGCAAGCAGAAAATTGTTCAATGACCATCGGAACTGCCATGGCTCTCACTACTTTCACTCTGCTCCAGCTAGTGCCGGCAGCCACGCAGTATAAAAACGGCCAACATTGGGCAATGCAACTGCTACATCAGGAGGTCCGTTTTCAGGCGGATGATCTAAGTACGCTAACGCCATGTGGACCACTGAAACGTGATGTTATTTTAAAATAAGCATTTTCTTGGCACCAAAGTGGCACTACAAAGTTTTCGGACTGCTATTTCAGTAATCGACGTCAACTTGATATTTGCCTTTGATGTTCCTTTAATAGAGTATATACTGCAGTCATGTTAGAGAGATTCTACTTGAAAAAAGAGTGTTCTTTAACTGCAGGCGATGTTGTTGTCTTTTCTTTATCTCAGGAACCTTTGGGACAGTTCATGAGAGATGCGATGCGGGCTTGTTGGTAACTCATCTTCAGTAAGCTTTCTTGTAGCGCACGTAAAAAACAGGAGGAAATGGAGGCACATATAGACAGACAGAGTGCTAAATTCCAACATGGAAGTTAGCGTTCTGTCTGTATATATGTGCCCCTTCATTACTTCCCGTTTTTAACATGCACTACAGGGAAACTTACTTTGGAACAGCTTTGTTTACTTTTGTAGGGAACCAGTGCTGGAGTTTCTGCGCTGGCAGTCAAAGCGCACAGCTCTCAGTTGCTCCCGTAGGCGACAGTGGGGGCTGGTAAAGGCAATGCGAGCGCACAGCACCGAAACAAGACCAAAGGGCGCTGGTGGTATATTCACTGAGACAATAGTTAGAAATGAGGGAGGACGCGTATACCTGCATGTTTTTCTTTCATATCAGTAAGAAATGAGGCGGCATTGCATCCTAGTGGTCAGAAGAGCAAAGTTTGTTTTGCGCTCACTCTCTTGACTAGTGATGTTGGGCTGGTTTATAAACCGAATTGTGCCTGTCTGCCAGATTTATTCGATAATGAAGACGGCCACCAGCGGAAACAGAATGAAACAGTCTAATTTATACGGTGTTTTGCCGCGAATAAAACAAGCAGAATATGCAGCATATGACATGTGTAAAACATTTTTTATCTGACCACCACCACCGAATTCCATCTGATGTCCCCCCGTGAAGTGGATGATACAAGTATACTGATGTAGTCGGGGGGTCTGCTCTTAAGATCGGAGCCAGCCAAAGTCCCGGGGAGAAGTTGAAGAGATGTGATGCGGGCTTGTTGGTAGCTTATCTTCATGCTGCATATTATGCTAGTTTTATTTCCACAGCTGTTAACTGCAAACTTTTAATTACAATAACATCACGGAAGCTTCATGCGAGCGTCTTGGCACTCGCATTTTATGCCCTGGTCTACCCAGAATGGAAGCCAGGACAGTCCAATGAAAATTGACATCTTCACCTCCGCCCTCAAAAGGGGAAGGTGAAACATCGCTTGCTTCCCAAATCAAGAAAGAGGGAAGAGGCACGCCCATTTTGTCGCCTGGCGGGGGAGAAAACACTGCACAACGCGCACAGCACAGCTCAGCGCGCAGACGTGTAGTCCTACGTGCAAATCAACTCTGTAGTCCGTTGCAGTAATGAGTATGTGGGGCCAGACAGATCCCGCTTTGCGGTAACGGCGGCATGAATGCACCCCGGAGAACGTTGAAAATGCACAGGAACACGAATCTCAGGCACTTGGCTCATTGTCCAGGGCACCTTGAGGTACAAAGCGAACCGCCTTGACGACCTACAGCTCTTCCTAATCCGCCGGTCAGTCAGGTGTGTCCAAAAGATTTTACGAGGGACACTGACGGTCCTGGACTATTCAAAGAACGGCTTTCGTGTTGTCGCTCTTGGCTCATCTCAGGGAGCGCTGACCCGGAAGAAATTAAAGTAGGCTCAGCCCAATGTCTTACGCATCCAAGCGAAGTCAAGCCAGGGGGGCCAATCATAACAGTACGTAGTCTACATCATTTGCGAACAGTAACAGAAGGAAAGCTGCTTTGTCCACAAGGTTTATGCGAAGTACGTTTGCTTAAGCCGCTGAACTGTTATAAAAGATAGGCTCGTGATTAATACTCGATACTGAGATGCCTCTGTTTATCTTAATTTGAGCAAAAAGCAGAGTACTGTAACGAATAGAGCAGCGGACTAATCAGGGCTTAGCTTTCTGGAGTCAACTGATGCGGTAAGCTTGTTTTTCACTGGCTGCCATGGCTAAGTAACATCAAAATTTATGCTTTGCTAGGAAAGTGCGATAGTTAATCCGATTTTTACTCGTCGGAAAAAATTGCTAGGTTTTTATGTGCCAAACAACATATGATTTTCAGGCACGCTGTAGCATGGTTATCAGCACTACAGTAGACTCTCAGTAAACTGAAATCTGTTAAACGGAACTATCACCTCTGCAATGCTTGGTTTGGTGCTTGTATTATGCACCCATGTTCATGTATCAGTAAATAGAACTCCTGTTAAATAGAACACATTTTCTTGGTCCATTCAGGTTCTTTTTACCGAATGTCTACTGTGTTTGTGACCACATGGCGTTCATCAATGTGCTCATATATCGTGGTTCACAGGTGTTCCTTGTTTTTCACTCCCATCAAAGTTCGGGCGCCGTTGTCGGAAATCCATCCCGCGCCACCAAGCATAGGAATGCAACACCACCCTTGATATCCTGTCATGGCAGTTTGCTTGATCGGCGTCCACGTGCATGCATACCGCGAACAGGGCATACATATGCCGCCAGAAAAGGGAAAATTGATGCTGCAGGTACCAATTGCTGTTATTTTTCTTTTTTAAGTACAGAAGTGGGCAGTGTAGCATCATCGCCGCACAGGCTTATCAATCCAGGCATATCAGCCAGCACTAACTTAGCACAAAATTCAGCACGCAACCAGAAAATGATAACGAGAGTGTCACCATCACTGCACAGCACTGTCCCCTCGATGCTACATGCACAGACGCAATCTGCTCTGGAGAGCTTCATTTCGTTTTTAAGTGCTCTTTATGTGAGAGTAGCCTTTGGAAAAAGTTTGCTTTGTTTTTTTCTGAACCACAATGCAATATTACAGGTGCAAGTGCCTTTTGAGCTCTCTGTTCCTAAGTGAAGTGCTGCACTGGCATGAACGCACGTGCTCTCCCTACGGTACACTGCAGCCGGTCGTCCGTAGGCGAGTGGCTGAGTGGTGTCGCGACTCTTCGCCAGGTGCTGTTTTTCGGCGCGCCACCTAACCAGTGCTGGTCTCCTCTATCATCACTACACAATGTAGGACAGGAAGGAAGAAAAATGGGAAGCTGTTTTGCCTATATTAGCTATTGCAGTTATCCTAAAACAGGGCATTTTGGCTAGTGCAGCAATTCTTTGATAACTAACCAAAACTCTTTTGGTACATAACTTGCTAATAGCAGAGTAGACACACGTGTTTGGAAGCACCGATGCGAATGCTTCCTTCTGTCTGCCTGAGAATAGCACCCCTTGCCCGATTACGCCGTACACTGCGGTGGAAAGCTCCGGGTAATGTCAACCACCTGGAGCTCTTCAATCGTTTCCCTACCAAAGATGAGCGCAGTTCATCCACGCAACAAAGATAGTCTGATTCATTTTGCCGAGTTCTCTTTGGCTTAAACAAATGACAGCACAGAAAAATGGGAATGCGGACTGCATGGCCAAAACCTTGTTACCACAGGACCAAGCACTGTTCTGCAGCGAAAGGAACCATTCTAAGAAGTCGGTTGCTCATGGGCAAAATTATGACACTGCAAAGGTGAAAAAATTTGTTCGGGCGCGGGAGATGGGCACTGGCATTGGTTGTTTGAAATCGGGCATCCACACAACATGCAGCACTACGATATTCGTAAAGTGTGATAGCCGCGAAAATCTGCACAAATTGGTGAGCTTAACAGATATTGCCCAGAATATGGGCCTCTAGCATTATGCCCAGATTGGAATGCAAAACCACAGTTAGGATTAAACCTGTGAATTGTGGTTAGTAGCCGAACATCTTAACCACTAGGCCACCGCTGTGTCTCCATTTATATTGCTAGCGTAGTTCCTGTAGGTGGTGCCACAGGGCACCTTCTGCTCAGAAAACATGTAATCTGAGAAAACATGCAAGAAATGTTAACACTGTATCGACAAAGAATTCACTACAATAAAGATGATGCTGCCGAAAGCTTGCTCATACCAAAGTGGTAGATATCGGGCGGTCCATGAAAATAAGTGCCGATGCCGTGGCCACAGAATGCGGGCACAACAGTGAAGCCTGCCTGGGCTGCCACAATGCTGCATCCAAGAGAAGGCAATCACACACATCTTCCCTCAGGCATTTTCTCTTAATGAACGCACAAGATAAAGAAATTTTAGAGTCATCGTGCGGAATTCCAGTGAGCAAGGTGGCCTCATGGCAACAGAAGAAAATTTTGTGTTCTTCAGAGCATAGTAGCAAGGGTTGTGTGTTATATGCAGGTGTCGGTCAAACTTCAACTGAACAAACCTCAAGGGACCACAAGAAAAGTTTGTTGAAGTGAGAGTTCTATGCACTGAAGCAGGTACTTTGACTAAAGCTACTTTTACTTCTTTGACTGAAGCCAAAAAAGGAAAATATCCCTTTACTTTGTTAGACACGGCAATAATTAGAACAGACAAGAAAGCCAAGGAAAGTATGGGAGATGTTATCTGTAGTGATTATGATGTATATGTGAAGAAAGTAAGGTGGACAGAAAGATGACTCGTCGTTGGCGAGAATTAAATCTGTGACTTTCGAATGACGCATCTGATGCTGTGCCAACTGAGCTACAGCGGTGGTCAACGTGTGTTGACACAGTAACAAACCAAAGTTCACTATATTGTGTGCAGTAACTATGCAACCCACAATGTAGCCAATGTCATGAACTTAGGTACATTTGAGTATATAACATCATTTGTAGAAAGAAGAGGAAACGATTTTCAGCTGACTTTGAGAATTATGAGTAAATTCCAGGCCACGTGCTGTGCTATAATGTTTTGCTCATGTGATTTCAGGAGCCTCGGCTACCAATCGGCAACATGTGTACATGCTGAAAAAGTGTTGCAGGGCCCCTTAAAGCATTTTATCTTAAACGCAAAACATTTATTTGCCAACCAAGATTACTTGGACTATTTGCCTTGTCCTGCCTTGCCTACTCACTCACCCACCCAATGCCCACTCATCAAAACTGATTGAGCTGCTGGTTTCATTGGTTGAGCCTCACAAAACGTGAACCCCTTGAATGATTCCCCTTCTTTCACGCTTTCCTAGCAAGGGCTTTGTCCTGGCACACCTTAACTGGCTTGCGTAGGTTTATTGGCCAGCTGCCACCTCATCTAATGTGCTATGTGACACCTTTTGTCACAAGGTGTTCCAGAATTGCTGCCTTGGCCACGAGCGGCACTGGCTAACGCTTTCATTATTAAACAGCACAGAAACACCAAACAATGTCGAAAAAGAGCTGACTTCTGTTGTATCTCAAGGGATAGAGCATCAGATTCAAAAGATGTAGGCCCAGATTTCACCAACTGGAAGAGGGATTTCACTTTAATTAATTTCAATATAGGTCAATACACTAGATGTAAAAACACAAAACAAAAAGACAAAAACTATGAGCCATACGCTTACCTTGGCTTAACTGTCTGTTGGTTTCACTGGTTGCAAATACAGTAATGTACCATCGACATCAAATAAAACGCGAACATAGAGCACATGGCACAAGCCTTATGAATGGAATAGTGCGCGCCGCCCACCAGACAGGCTCGCACATCTGGTGTGGCAGCACTGCGCGATCCCCTATAGTGCAATATTTCTACTTGTGTTTAAGGTATGGTATTTAAAAGGAAAAAAAAGGGAGGGCTACTGCGGCCGAAGGCGAGTACGTATTGTAGCTTGGTTCCTCAAAAGTAACAGTGCTATCAACGTCAAACGAAACACGAATAGTGGCACGCATAGAGCTGTTTGTAACCAAATGATTAGAGAAAGATGCACTCATGCAGTTTCCCGCTCTCGCACCGCAATCACACTTTCGATCGACAAACTTACATTGCGGGCAGTCGCCGGCATGCGTATGCCGAGTGCTTCAGGTAATTTAAATAGCGGCGCTCTGTCTTTACTGCACCCTGCAGTGCTTTCGGTGTCTGGGAATGATACAAGAAAGGATGAATCTGACTAGCCATCATCATGACCATTAAAATTAACTGATGCCTTAAGTCGCGATAGCGAAGCCGTGTAATTTTAATTACACTTGGAAATGAAGGTGCAGCTAAGCTGAAACACATATTACAATAAAAAATCAAACAAAAAGAACTGGTTAACTTGCAAAATTCTTTTTTTGCAGATAATAGCAGAAATGTACAAAAATTAAGCATTGTGTTCAAGAATGCTCCTCAGCGAGACTTGGAAGGTGCAGACGTTTCCGCGAGAAAAAGTATTTGCTCCTTAAGTATAACACTTTGTGAATTCGCCTCCAGCTGCCACAACGACGCCCATTCTTCAAGGAAGATGGTCGAAAAGCCATGTGACAAGATCACTTGCATGTAAGCGCTCCCACTCCTCTTGTATGGCAGCTCACAGTGCATCTTAAGAGCTGCGCTGAATTGGCTGCTGCGAGAGTGCCTTCTTCATTGCACCCCACACATTCTCACATATGTTAATGTCGGCGCCTTGTGGAGGCCACTCCAACAGCATCACTCCCAGCTGTTCCAGCAAAAGTGTTGTTGATATGGCCGTGTGAATGGGTCTGCAGTCCTGTTGGAAGAAGTACAACCCATCAGAGAATTGTCCGTCCAGAGCATAGGGCACCATGACTCTTTCGATCAAATCGCAGTATGCCGCAGCGTTGAACCTGTCCTCTATGCAAACCAGTGGTCTAAGGCCCTCTTTGGACAATGCGCCCCACACGCTGATAGAGCAGTGGCCACTGCTTGCTACGCGCTGTAGGTTTTGGAGGTAAAATTTGCAGAAGAAATGTAAACCGTTAAATGCCTTTTTGCCACTCTTGTCATCATCAAATATTGCGAAAATAGCTGGCTTAATAACAGTGCCCTGTAAAATATACCAAATAATAATAATTTTACTCAAGTGCGGGCTCGTTTTGAAGTCACGATAACAGCAAATTATATGTATTTAATTATAGCAATCATTTAAAAAACGAGACAGCCGACATACTAAATTGAGTGAATATCCGACCTGGCGTTGTCAATTTTCCAAATTCTCTATCGCTGGTCCTAGTGAGTGGAGAATGTTGGCTCGTCGATGAATATCACACACCACCAGTCTCCCACAGTCCAGGTTGCGTGTTCTTGAGCATACGCAAGTCTCGCAAGCTTATTGGCCTCAGAAAGTGCAAGCTTTCGGGGTGGCACATGGCTCCGCAGGCCTTTCTTATGCAGTCGATGTCTGACGGTTGACCTGCTGGCCGAGAAGTTCAATCTGTCTTTGATCTGTCGAGCTGTGATGAACGAAGCCTTGTTTGCAGCTTGTACAACAAGTAGGTCCTTCGCACTGTCCATCGCCCACTGCCTGTGTCTATGTGGAAGGTTCCAGAGGCGTCCGTCATCAAGGAATGCCTGGCAAATTCTATTTATATTAGACAAAGGTCAGTTCATAATGCTGGCAATTTCATGCTGTTTCACTTGGTACAGGTAAAGTGAAACAATTTGCACTTTTTCTTCCAAAAAGACGCTTGGAATTCCCAGTTAATGTGAAGCCTTTCGGATAGGTTTCTGAAAGAAGGGTGCAGGTGAAGCAGCGCTGGTGAACGAGATACAACGATCGTTTGAAAATCAACAGTAAATCGATTATATGTATATTTTTTTATTGTGCCCCGACACTGCACTGCGACGCTGAAGTGAAAGCAAGGAATCGCAAGTGATACAATCGAAAGCTCATTGCATGCCCATGATGGCCACCATTATCACCATACGAAAACTACACTCCGCGACAACTTTCTGTGGCAGCACAGCTATGAAGCCCAAGCACACCCTTTTTTACTACGCTTTTGCATATAGCCCATAACTTTTGTATACTGCATACCATAATAAAAAATATAAAACAAAAGACATTCAAGGTTGTTCGCATTATTATTAGGAAGCATCACCCATGCAGGTTTTTGTTCCTTGCTGTTTCCAGTTTTCTGGTGTCATTTCACCTTTTCCCTGCCCCGGCAAACAACGATGGCATCGTTCGGTTGGAGCAAGTTCACATCCAAGCTTGTGAACGAGCATGAGTGCGCGGTCGTTAGGTGATCTGTATACATCAAGCAGTAAGAAAAGAAGACAGTGGTGCATCGTGAAATATTTTGTTTCTCACACATGCAGTCACTGAGTGTGCGAATGATATCATTAGCGAAGATGGGACTCTAATCGCTATATCCGCCTTGAAAGCTATAACGGCGACCTGCCAGTCTTCAGCAACACCAGTGCTGCTTGGAAGAAAAAGTGCGATTGGAAACTGTACGTAAAACCAATGACCCTTTTCCTAAATTGCGTTGCATACGTGGTCAGTGTTTCAGCTGCCCAATATTGTTGATACACTCCCGTCGACGTTTTCGGAGGAAGTCGTTCCTTGCTCTTTGCCTAGGCGACAGACACGTTTATGTATATTACGCTGTTTACATGGCAAAAACAAAGTTCTTGGCCAAGTAAAGATCGCGCTTCATCCACTTGAATTTACAAACATCAAGCGCCCGCTTGTGACCGGTCGGTGCCAAGATTCCTGCTTCCCATCGTTGCCTTCGCGTCCCTTAAAAATAATGTGAGCTTCGCCGGAAGGTTCTTGCGTCTCTAAAAGAAGGAAAACAATGATGCCGACCAAGTATGCTCTGAAATTGAGAAAATGTTTTTTTTGCATTGCGTTGTTTCAATTGCCCAGTACCTGCTCGACCGTACCTTTTTTTTTCAGAAATGAATCTCAACGCTTTAAATAAGCTTCGTGTTCTTTCTCCTAAAAGATGAACATTTTATTTTTTTCCTCGCAAATAAATGTAAGAATTATTGCATGGTGGTCGTGCAAAAAATTAAATGTTGGATATGCCTGCAAAACCAAAATTTCATGAAAACGGACTACTTGGCGTAAGCTCTGCCCGCGTAGCTTTGGCTGTGCTGCCACAGAAAGTTGTCGCCGAGTATAACGCACTATAGGGGGATCACGCAGTGCTGCCAAACCAGATGTGCAGGCCTGTCAATGGTGATGACAGGACGGCCAACACTATACTGTTTCTAATGCTTGAAACACGCACTCTGCTGTTCGGGTTTCATTTGACGCCGATTGTACATGCTTCAGTGTTAGCTTTGGTGCTACATCCCTTCTAAAATTTTCTTGTTGGGCTGGTTATCATATTTCAGTTTGGTTCCATTCAAAAGAGTGAAATACCTCAGCTGCTTTTGTACTTTAAAAGTTGGCACTATGCACTGTTTATTGCTCAGGCGCACGCAAACATTCTGCTATTCCGTAGGGCCAAATATATGTCCTCTTCGAGATTTGACACTGCTCAGTCTTTGTGATTGTTTCTAATAAACTTAATGCATGTCTGCTTAAATATGTGGAGTAGAAGCCAAATTATTATTCATTAAAATACAAAATTCCTCATTCTTTCTCATTATGCTACTGATATGAATTCTTTGCTGTAACTGTCACTATTTAGTTGTAAAACTGAGCTAGCTGCCATGTGTGTAGTTTTATAGTTTATTCTCAAATGTGTTCAATCTAAGCATTTTTTATTACTTCAATCAATGTTGAGTCATGCGGCTTAATACAAAATATATGATCTTAAGCGAAACTAGTACGCATTTCTCAGAGCCACGAAATTTTGGATTTTCATTGGATGTTCCCCATTGCGTCATGGTACAACATGCTGTGATTGGCCCTTGGCGCAATACAGTCAAGATAAATGAAGACAAGTGAACAGCTGTATGGAACTCATAATAATGATAACAAACATAGAAAATGTGCATGCAGACACCACAAATAAAAAAAGTGGTACATATTATGCATGCACAAACCGAGGAAACACAAAATAGATGCCACTAATTCATTCAAGTCAGGGCAAGTACACAATCGGCCTACAAAGTCATACCTGATGACTCGGCCAATTTCGCTAAGCTTCTGTCCCGGACCGCAGATGCTGACCGCCCTGTCCAGGCATTCACGAGCGGTCTGCACCAGTGCCTTGCCTTTCTCATCCACAGAGTGGCCGACTATCAAGGTCTCAGCACAGTCTCCATGATAGCCATTGTAAAATACCTACCAGGAAAGGACGCCCATAGTACAATACGGTCAAAGACAAATCACGCTCTTTGAGGACTGCAATATAAATATTCCAATAACTGTTCAATCGTGCCACTTAACTATCGTGAATATTTCCAATGACGTAACCTACTTGCAGCCAGCAAGCGGACGATTTGCACGGTCATTCTAGGTATTTATCGAATGTGGTGCTCAGTGACAGTTCAATAAAAGTGTAGTACAATGAAATACTTCTCCAAGAGTTCATCAAGAGGGTCATAGAAGTGTTTGATATAGAGAACAATTTAATAGAACTAGGTACAATATATCCAGGCTCATTATAGATATAACAAGTTGAATCTAAGTCTAAATAAAATTAACATGTTAGCATACCTCATTTTTAAGACAAGCACTGCATACAAGAATAGTAGTATCTCATGTTGCAATCAAACTACACTTTAGAATTTTACTGTCCAAAGTGCTGTAAATAAAGTCAGTGTGCAGAACAAAACAGTGTGATGATTCATTTCTTTTTTATGGGAGTCAAATCAGCTTTAGTAGTGACTTAAGTTACAACATATTTGATCTCTTCACTAAGAGTTCTCAATCAACTTATAGTTTGTTTATCTTGAGACAATAAATGAAGCTTGTCAGTTCTCAATGTTGTTGTAGTGCTATCACCGCCTGTAAAATAATTTTTCCCTCATCAATCTACATTTAACTGATTAGCCATAGATAGCAGCCAATTGAGAGGCACTGCTGTGCTTGTGCAGTGTCCAATGGCTAGCATGTTAGTGCCAGCAGCGCCACCTTATGGGAGCGAGGTTATCTGGGCGCTTGAGAAATTCTTTTAGGGGCAAAGCTGCTTAAGGCATGGGTCTGTCCATTCTCTGTCGTTGTCGTACGTAGCCACCGGGATGCGAAATGGGAAATGGCGGTATTTGGAATGTTCCCTAGATGGATGCATGGACAAACGCATGGACGGACGGACGGACGGACGGACGCACCGAGCGGGTACGTGCCACAGGGGATGCGAGATGGCGGTATTTGGAGTGTTCACTAAATGGACGCATGTACGGAGAGACAGACAGACTAGAAGACAGACGCACAGATGGACAGACAAGCAGACATACGGACAGACGGACACACAGACGGACACGTGGATAGACGCACGGATGATCGCGCGGACGGACTGAAGGAAAAACAAACGGACGGATATAAACGTGGACAGGCTGATAGACGCTTCATCCCAATCATCATTCACTCCGTAAATATGCTGTGATGTTTTTCTCCTAGTATTAGTGGCAGATTACCATTAATGATTTGATCTTATTCTTCTAGTTATTTCACTCTTGTGATTCGGCTCCGTGGTTTGGCTCCGTGATTATTACCTATCTTAAGTAGACATATTCCTTTACAATTACCAGCATCTCTCCACCTATCCCAAAGTGCTGTTTTCTGCCGAGACTGTTGCACGTTTTGATAGTTTTGTGCATATTAGTTTTTTCAGACCTACTTTTGTGCTTTCCATGTCCAGTTCAGTAATCATGAGCTGTAATTCGTCCCCTGAGTTACACATCAAGGCAATGTCATCAGCAAATTTCAGGTTACTAAGATACTCTCCATTAACTTTTATTCCTAACTCTTCCAATTCTAGGGTCCTGAAAATCTCCTGCAAACGCACAGTGGAGAGATCGTGTCTCCCCGCCTTACACCCTTCTTTATTGGGATTCTTTCGCTTTCTTTATGGAGAACTATGGTGGCTGCGGATCCTCCGTAGATTTCTTCCAGTATGTTTATGTAGGGTTCTTCGATGCCCTGATTCTGTAGTGCCTGCATTACTGCTAATGTCTACAGCTAATGTCTACTTACTGCACTTCTACTTTGACATTTCCCGTCAACTGACGAGTTGTGCGCACCTGTTTTGCGACCTAATCGGCTACTTCTATATGATTGTTACGTTGAGCCTATACATCGCGGGTGGTTGGAGTGTATAGAAATTAAAGACAAAAAATTTTTAAGTGCTAAAGAATAGACAGGCGCTGCCTTTAAGGCTGTATCCTATTTTGTTGGAGTTTTGAAGTAGTAATTAAAACTCTGGTAAATAGATATAGAAGTAGACAGTGGCCCTCAGTTGGGAGTCGGATATACATTCTAGTAACGGGCCTTTTCCGGTTAGGTAGTTTGCGCATGCACGCCGCCCTCGAGGAGGCACGCGTTATGATTTTTGGTGGTCAAAACGTGACGACTCGTGCGGATCAAGCGACATCTGGTGCCACAGACATGCAAATGTTTGCTGAAAAAGAGAGCTGTGAACGTAGGCCTCCGAGATTACCTACCACTATGAGGTGGACCATTTCGCAGTCTAAGAGCCGCCAGTTTTGATTTCGGCCATCTCCACTTGGAGTGCTGTTCGGACTAAGAAAAGGCCCGTTACATCCACAGTTAGCCTAATAACGTTTGATGAAAAGGTAAGGAGCACATTATTTCTAGTTCTAGAAAGCAGCGAAAGGCGAGAAACTTCGTACAGAAGTAATGACGTGTCTGAATTACTCACCACAAAGCGTCAGCTTGAATTGCTAAACCCCAAGGACTCTCAGCACCACACTCATACACAACGATAAGTCCATGCGACACGTTCAGCTCGTAAGTGCTTCTAGGTATTGTCCAACGTTTGAGGAACGCAACTGGTGTTGATGGGCACTTATGCTTTAGACTAAGTATTTTAATCTTGCCAGTTGGTTTACACAGTATACAATTATATTAGGTGCTGGAGGAAATGTAGAGTAGAAAATTTAATCAAATAATAATACGAAGGATATATTAAGCCTGCTTAGCGCAATACCGCCTCGTTAAACAGTTGCATGGCAAAAAGTTACTTATACTCGAGTTGTTGCATGCTGCAGCATGTTACTTTGGCTTACATAACGCTCACAAGCTTGAATTTATGTCAAGGTGTTCATGCAGCTCGTTGCGTAAAATTCGAGCTGCCGTTTAATTCAACCGCAACGTAGGTTGACTGATGCGGCCCGCACTCTTACATTTTGGGGTGCTTGTTAAACTTGAACTGCCTTCGAACAAATCCATGTCTGTCCACGGCTGAGTTACTGTACTTCAAGGGTGCACTCTAAAAAAAAAATTAGCATAAAGCTTGGAACCACAAGCATAGAGTTAGTAACAAGAGCTGTTACTAACCTTCTTGGGAACTTACTATCTTTTCTACATAGCTTGCAACCTGACAAATTTTTAAGTTCAGAGGCATCTTATATGGGATTATATGAGCTCAGTTTGGCCAACTTTAAAACATTAATGTATTTTATAGCCTAAAATATGCACCTTGCCAGTATTAAACTCCTGCAGCTATGGGAATTCACTTTGCAATTATTCAATACTGATTACCATTTTCTCCAACATTCCTGTGAACAAAAAAAAAGGAATGTTCTCATAAGCCTACCATTTCTGCCTCTACGCCTACCTCTGACCTTTTAATATGGTTAAATATAGGCACCAATGTGCTAGCATCTCCATGCATGAAAAAATCCAAATTCTTCATGAAGTCTATCATATTTTACACTCTGCAAACAGGTGCATAGTTACCATGAATGCCGAGATCAGCCTGAATTTGAGTGCATTCATCAACAACCATGAAGCTATATTAAAAAAAAAAGTCAGGTTCTGTAAACATCAAGAAAAATAAAATGATATATGAAAGTAAATAATAAATTAAACTAAATGTAATTGAATGAGGCTCTTTCTTATGCAAACCAGACATTTCACATTGTCATAATGAAAATTATAGGTTAAATAGCCCTTACTACTTGACGCATAAGTTCACAAAGCAAGGAGAATGCCTAATAAAACTTCCAACAAATATTTTATCATATCTGGTATTCTAGGGCTGTCCCTTGCCAGCTTGCTCAATCGAAGTTGTCCATTACATGAAGTGGCCAGATAATTTTATGTTTACATCATAATCAAAGAAGTGTTGTTTACTTAAAAGACAATATTAGAGCTCTTAGGTGTCTAAATCAAACAGAAGCATGCACACATAATGTTTAGTCAGTAAGGCACAGGAAAAAGGTGTTTGCAGGTGTAACAAACAGTAAATTGCAATGCAAAATGGCAACAAACTGGAAAAGCAACACGAAACACTGCAGACTTAGTAAATGAAGCAAGATTGTGTGTGCACTTACACTGACGTCAATACTGATGATATCTCCATCGCGCAGCGGTCTGTCATCGGGTATTCCGTGGCAGGCTACGTTGTTCACCGATGTGCACACAGATTTTGGGAACCAGCGGTAGTTGAGGGGCGATGGATAGGCATTGTTCTCGATGCAGAGCTTGTGAGCATACCTGTCAAGTTCATCTGTAGTGACTCCTGCCTGCAGAGCGCAAATCACACTTGTGAAAAATACTCGCAAAAAAACATTTTCTTGTGAAAATAACAAAAAAGCACTACAAAATGGTTTAGCGTTATTGGCCCGCACGGGGATTTGTGAAGGACATAAGCCAGCCTTGTCAAGGGCTTGTGTGGAAATTTTATTTATTTATTTATTTATTTTTTTATGTTTGGGAAAGGTTGAACGTTAATAGCCTGCATCTGGCGGAGAAATGCATGAGGCCTGTCTGACGCGTACAGACGCCCCGCCGCGGTGGTCTAGTGGCTAAGGTACTCGGCTGCTGACCCGCAGGTCGCGGGATTGAATCCCGGCTGCGGCGGCTGCATTTCCGATGGAGGCGGAAATGTTGTAGGCCCGTGTGTTCAGATATGGGTGCACGTTAAAAAGCCCCAGGTGGCCGAAATTTTCGGAGCCCTCCACTACAGCGTCTCTTATAATCATATGGTGGTTTTGGGACGTTAAACCCCACATATCAATCAATGACACATCCAGACACGTTGGTTCTATGTTCTCTTACCGAAGGACTGGGTTTTCTTTCCCAGCATTTGAAATGCAGAGTACAAAATACTTTGAAATGTATTTATAATTTATTTATTTATTTATCAAATACCCACAGCACCTGCATAGGCAATACAGTGGAGGGAATACATAAAGTACACAATAAAAAGCAGTGGTTACATGGAGAAAACACGAAAAAATGATCATAACTATAATTGTACATCCCAAGATGGTTATGCCTATATAATAACATAACGTAGCACGTGTACAAGTTATGCATTTGGACTTACGATAACAATATCTGCTGGTAACCGATTCAGGGCTCTAATTGTAATGAAGAAAAAGGACTTGCTCAACATAGTACTTCAATGTCTTCGAAGAAGACCCATTGACCGGGTCAGATGTCAACGCCCGAAAAACTTCGGAAACGACACGTCATCTGTCTCAGCACCCAACAAATGCAGAACATGCGACAACGTGCCATGTAAGACATGGGTAGAAACATAAGCAGAAAGAACACATGCAAAGACAGCCCAAGCACACAAATTTCAATGCAAGTCACTAATTGCTCAGGGCAAATAAGTTCAAACTGATATATGGAGGCTCGAGCTAGAAAACGAGGTTTGTTCCGCAGAAATACGTAAGCTAGAGAAGAGTTCTGTGGCTGAAGGTGGATGTTGGGTATTAGGACGTAATGTGCCTGTAAGGATCATGTGAAAAAAGCTCCATTAGTACACGCCAGGACCTCATGCGTCCTGAGGAGTTCATCACCGAGCATGATCAGTCTTCTGGCAGTATATCTAGAACAAAGAATGCAACTGAGCTGAAATACATGCAGAAAGTATATCCCATCTGTATAGCTTACACTGTGTACCCAGTGTAAGCTACATACACTATGTAGGTGCTCAGAACAAAACATTTCCTATCAGCAGTTGGGCCCAGTATAAAACTGGAAGAAACACACAAACTAGTAGTTTCCATAATGCACTAAACGATGTCCCAATGCCAAAGAATGGTCTCGAACGACAATGATTTAGGAGTCAGCATGACACTGGGGTAGTTAAGGAGCTGCCGAAAAACTTGGATACAAGTTCAGATAAGCATGCACTTTCGAAAGAGACACACTTTGCTGCAAGCCGAGTAAGCAAGATTGTTCCGCTTAGTAACAGAGAGTGGCATCATGAAGAAATAGTAGGAACTATGTGCACAAATGTTAGCTGTCTTTTGAATGGCATGCACAACAATTTATTCCTCCGAGAATAGCTCTTGCACTTGTACTCTAGTATCGGTCACTTTTATCTACAGAGCGGAAGCAAGGCCATAAGAATAGTCTTGCGAACACCAGGATAGCTAACAAAGCCAGTGCGGGAACTTCTGAATACAGGAAGGAAACAATGCGACCCTACGTCTCCGATAGGGGGTAAACAAACAGAGAACGCACGGAAATGCAGCTGTAAGTCAACCCCCTTGGAAATCAATCTAAGCCAGGCAAACAATCGTGAAGTTAGCTTGTCGTGAAAAGGAAATCATGTTCTTTCAAAAAACTATCACGACAGCATGACAATAAAAAGATAAATGAAACAAAGGAACAGATTTACAAAGGGGGAACCCCAAAAGGAAACATGCTTGTCTCTAGGTGATTGGAATGCAGATGGCCGCCAAAGCGGCCGAGGAAGTTTTCATCGTGGATGCTACTCAAACAGCCTGGCGTTTCAGGGTCGTACCAAATGGCGTGATAATGCTCGCAAAAGGTTTGTGAGATATAACAACAGTGAATTCAATTTGTGGCAGACTATAAATTGTATTAAATGTATTAAAGAAAGTGACATATCTTTGTTGTTCTGACCTGCACATCACCGAAATTGTTTTGTTAAAGACAAATGCACTGCAACGCTTACATTCCTTTGTGAGGTACATTGAAGCCAATTATGATGACAGCTACAATTTTCATGCAGAATGCTGCATTGACCACCAACCTTTTTTGTATTGCCATTGAAAATTTTGTGCGAACAGTTTGTGATACAAGATTGACCGGTGTTCATCTGCATATCAGTCTATGCTCACTCGCATGCATCAGTCTGTCAGACAGAACCAGGATAATATCATTTATGCGTGCCACAGTGCGCTGTTGAGACAGTGTGAACCTTCATGTTAAAGTGCACCCCTGGGCCCTGACATTGCAGAGATGACAACGAAGCAGTGTCAAAGCACGAGAGCACCTGAAGGAAATAACAGGAGCACCACCATGTGCGTTGCCTCTCTGCACGTGCCCACGTATCGTACACACAAGTAAAAAACAATAAGCCAGGTTGTCCTTTCAGATGAAGCAAAAAGTTGGAGCGAAAAAGACGTGTTGGCCTGGCTAGACGTCAACATTCGGGAGGTCAACATTGTTGGATGGTACCTCCTTGGGCGTCAAGCCCGAAAGACTTCAAAAACGTCACATCTTCCCCTCCGGCACCGACTGGACACAGAATCTCCGATAACCCGCCTGGCTCTTTTCGTCCAGAACACGCAACGCAGCCAAGCCAAGGTTTATAGCGTGAGTGTGGCGTTTATTTGAACCGACATGTAAAGATATTTTGTATATTATTTTGCTAGCTGTGCTTTGTATTTGTGTTATTTGTGCCTTTTTGTGTTGAAATATGTTTGTGTGCTGTGCCAGTTACGTCTTCTTCCTTGCGGCCCTAAGCAGCGTCTCACATGACTCATAAAGCGTTCTCCCCGAACCTTACTTTACAAGTCATGGTGTTGGATAGAAAAAACCTCCTGAGCAGCACTGGTCGTGCAGCTCACATCAACATGCAGCACATTGTAACACATGCAGATGAAGCTCGCCGTCTGCTGAAAGCTCCTGGGTGTATCAGTAAGCAGTCATTGGTAGTGATTTGCTTATTCTCTTTCTATAACTGCATTTTAATATAAAGTGTCGTGTTTGGTACAAAATTATTGAGCCCTAACACACAATCGCACTTGATTATCTGTTAGTTCTTGTAAAAAAAAAGAATTTTAATAAAGGATGGGGGCTCGTACAGAATAAAAGACAATGATGTTAAAATGGGCCTTCTGCATCTGCTTCAGTCTCTCACGTATTTAATATTAGTTTGGTGCCAAAATGCCGGAGAACAATGACCTTTAGATTCATATCTTTAATTCGAGGCCACTTACTTCTACGAACACAGAAGCAAGAAAACCTGCTCCAATCTGTCCAGCCAAAATACCGCCATTGGCTGAACCACAGACAGTGGCAAGAAATACCACAGCTCGATATTTGCAGACAAGCCAGGAAGACTTCACTGAAAAACTACGGCACTGGAAGAGGCTGCTCAAGCACTGGTGGCTTCATTCGAGGAAGGAATGTCTGTATGAACTTCGCTCGCTTCATCACTATCAACAGCACAAATAAAGACTTAAAAGTGGACGACATAGTGGTTGTCAAGGAATGCCCCTCATGACGTGTTTGGCTATTTGGAAGAATAATGGACCTATATCCTGGGCGCGACGGACTGGCATGTCGAGTTCAGACTCAATGCGGGAAGGTTACCAAGCCTGTCCAAAACTGTACCCACTAGAGATGCCATCAGTTCTGGCGGGTCAGCAGAATGTAAAAAAGTAAGTGGTTTAATAAAGAATGAGAGCTCGTAGAGAAAAGACGATGAGGTTCGAATAGACCCTCTGTGTCTGTGTCAATTTCTCACATATTTAATAGCTCTCATAATCATCTAACAAGAAAAATTAGTGAGTGAGCAAACTTTATTTAACCAGCGGATTGAGGCGTGGGCCCTAAGCTGTGCCAGGGGCGGTGGAGAGACCCTGTCTCTCAGCCGCCTCCCGTGCTCGCTGTATGGCCCATATTTGATCTGCCCGATCTGAGCTGATCAGCGTGGCTCTCCATCGCGCCCCAAGCTGTTCTGGGGAGACTGCATTGGCCTCCTGTATCTGTGTGCATTCCCATAATAGATGCTCTAGGGCGGCGCGTCTCATGCTAGATAGCTTACACGAGTCATCTGGGTATATTTCGGGGTCGATGCGATTTAGGTGCTTCGGGATGGAAAATGTTCTAGTTTAAAGTCGCCTCCAGTCAACCTCCTAAGATCTGTTTAACGTGGAGCTAGGTGGTGGAAATCTGCGCCTCGACTTTTGGTAGAATTGGATAATATCGCAGAACCTAAACATTCTGTCCCTCTCCCACCACTCCTCTCCTGCCGGTACCTCATGTGAAGCTCCATCGTGACTGCGGTCAGTGAGACCTCGCGCTACGCGGTGAGCCTCCCCGTTGCGGTTTGGAATGGGGGACGCACACGGGGTGTGGGCTGGGAACCATATAATATACCTTTCTTCTAACTCCTCGGATGATATGAGATTTGCCTTGCAGAGGAGTATGTTAGTTGTCTCGGGAGATATTCTTCCTCGTGCATAATTACGGATTGCCAACTGCGAGTCGCTGTGACATACATACACTTTGGGAAAATTGTGGCCTGTGC